ATTTATCCTGTATCCCTAGCCACAGTTTAATTGCTTACTCCAATTCTTCCAGGTGCCACAATCAAGTTCTTTCTCCAAAAATTCCAACAAAACTGACCTTGGCAATATCATCCATAAGTCACATGTAATCAATGTAATTGTTATTTTAATTAACTTCTCCACAGTATTTGACACTGCTGATCACTCATTTCTTAAAACACTGCTTATCCTTACTTTTGGGGTACCACGCTTTCCTGATTTCTCTTCTATCTCCCTGACCACTCTATCTCAGTCTCCTCTATAGATTCAATGTTCTCTACCTACTACTTAATTATTGATGAACCTCTTATCAATTTCCATTTCTGGGTCCTCTCCTCTTTTTATAACTTCTTGTGCTTCTAGGAAGACCCATACATTTCCTGAGCATTGGTAAATATCTGAATAATTGTAACTTACAAATCTATATCTAGCTTCTTACCTAATATCTAGCTAATTTATTGAACTCGATATGTTCACTTCACTTTCTGGTTCCCAATCCAGTGTATCCTCAATTTTCACTATTTGAGTAAATGGCATAGAGTTGCTCAGGTCAGAAACTGGTAATGTTTCCTTACTTTTTACTTTCTCTAAACTCTTTCTACTCCATTACCCCATAAGTTACCAGTAATTATCTACTATTTCCTTTAAAAATCCTTTTTTAAGGATTCTTTCTATTCCCTTTGTTACAACTCTGATCCTGGCCAAGAACATCATGTCTGAGCTGGTCTTCCACAGTAGCCTTCTAATCGTCTCCCTGCCTTAAATTGTTCTATTCCTCGACCCGCACCTCCGTGTGGCAAAGAAAGTCATCTTCTAAAAATACATTATTCTCAGCATACGTCCAAATTCCTTAAGAACTATTGCAAGACTGCAGGATCTGCCATCATCACCACCTGCAAATTCATTGCTGCCTCCGCATCTCTCCCTTGTAAGCTCTACCCACACTGAATTTCTTTCAGCTCTTGGAATTATGATGTTTCTTATCTCCTGGCTTTTCTAAGAATTATATCCTCTGTCTTGAATATGTTTAGCTTTCTGTCTGTTAGACTGAAATTATCTTTTAAGAATTATTTCAAGATATATATTTTTTCAGGTAGGCATGCATTTTCTGACACCTTGCTTAAGATATAACACCTGTTTTACATTCTTATGGCTCCATATTCTTCTCCTATCACAACACCCATCATCTTTATCTATTTATTTATTTCTATGTTTTCCTAGCTAGACAGCAATTTCTGTAAATTTGCTTACCATTGCATTCTAACACTTAGGTAACTCAGTAGGTACTCAATATATATTTAAGAATCAATAAAAGCTAAGATTTTATTTTTTACAGTCAAATCACTTTTTTCTCTTTGGTTGCATTAATATAATATGAATTTACATTGTAAAATTTTAGATTTATCATTAGTTTATTAGTCTTACAAACACTTATTTTGTTTTCTTCAGTTACATTAATATATTATGTATTTGTGTTGTAAATATTATATTTATCATTAGCTTATTAGAGAATTATGTCATGAAACTTGAACAATTTAATAATTCCAAAAAATGTTTATATGTGTACTCTAAAATATTCATTAGCAATGAAAATTTCTATATGAAATAAATGTGTCAGCATTTGGCTCCAAATTACAAAGAATTAACCAGGAATGTGAGGAGGTAATTGGAAAGTAATTTGGGGCTTAATCACACAATTGTTGTGTACAAGTCCCCCGGTGAATGGCTTAGCATTATGTGTACATCTGTGCAAATACTGGTTAATCTGGCCAATGTCTTCAAATCTGAAAATATGTAGTAGGTGTTTTTCTTTTACTTTCCTTTTCTCTGAGACAAGTCTTCAGAATGCTTTTTATAAATATATTAAGAAGTGAGTCTTAATAACACTATGATGCTGAGAACATTGAGATTGGTAGATAGGTATATAAGGGAAATGTGTGTGGTCAAGAAAGAGACAGAGAGAGAAGAAGAGAAACAGAAATAGAGAGAGATAAAAGATGGATATTGGAATATACAGACAGATCAAGAATTCAGTTAAAGAAATGTAATGTTCTCTGGCAAATGAAGTTCACAAATCTGAGCAAGCTTCCCCCATACAATGGGAATATAAGTGAGGTGAGGACTGATTGCAGATGTGGTTAAGTGTTCTGTACTTATCTGACACTAGGTGCTTTGAGAGGGGAGAATAAAAGTACAAAATGGAATGAGAATCTCTTTTAAAATAAGTAGCATCAAGAACTTAAAACAAGGACACTACAAAATAATGAGGTTTGAAGTAAAATCAAACAGCATATTTAACCTCTAAGAATACCATGTATTTGAAATTCTCCTTTCCAAATGTACAATTATATAGTGAGTATATGTTGATTACAGAATGAAGAAGTAAAAATAATTTTAAATTAGGATCAAAATACAACTTCCCTAAGCAAATACAGACACGTTTATTTCTTTCCATTAGAAATAAAAAACAAAAAGATTTAGAACTTTATATAATCACAAAATTCATAGGGCTTAAAAAGTCAGAAAAAACCCCGGATACACCTCCATTTTTGGTAGGTTGATGTGAAAGTAAAAATACAGCAATAGTGACAGCTCAAACATTTGTCTTTCAATATTTTATATTAAAATACATATAACTTTTGTGTTTAAAAGAAATAAAACTCTAGCACACTATGCTTTCTGCACTGGTGCTACCTAACAGTAGGGAAACAACAACAAAAAGGTCCCAGCAAAGAAGTAGATTTTTAAAACAAAAATGACAGAATAATCTTCAATAATCTAAAGTTTCCTTTCTTTTGTTCCATTAATTTTTAAGGTATGAAAAAAATCTAAGGTTGGCTAGATTTTAAAGGCATTGTTGTTGTTTTTATTCAATAAAATTTTAGTATGTCCTTATTCTATGTAAGAAGATATGGATCTGAGAAAAGGGTAGTAGAAATGCAAATAAGGTTACATGTCTGTCCAAAGAATAATCTAACATGAAAAAATATTTTTTTCACTATTCTATCATCCTTTAAAAATATAATTTCACAAAGTAGCAAAGTTGTATTTAAGAAACTATAGACATTTTAAACTTTTAGGGTTTTATATTATTTTAATCTTATAAAACCAAGTGGCATAACAACTATACTACGCTAAAGGGCAAAGCAAATAAAAGCTGAATGTATTTCTTCCAAGAACTCCTAAGTAGACCTCATTGAAGAATGAGGTTGCTTGAAACATATCACAAAAAATGTATTGCTTAAAATAATATAGTATAACTACCCTATTTCAGAGGTACTTATAATAATAAATCTAAATAAAACAATTCAGTAAGCATTTGATTCCCAAAGTCTCATTGAAGTGCATGGAATGTTATATAGTGTGCTTAATTTTTAAATTGTTGCTGCTAATACTACCATTCTGCTGATAAAATGATAAATATGGAATTAATGTCTTAAAATATGGCCAAAAGTATTCAAGTATCTATTTTGAAAATTGCATGAAGATACTTGTTTTTTAAATTAATCAAATACATTTGCTTCTTTGACTATAGATTTGACTCCTACACAGTAGCAACCAGAGCATTACGTACTACAAATTGTAGACACTGCCATATCTGGGGTTAGTGGGATTAACTAAATTTTTATTTTATTTATAAATTCCTATTAGAAATATTTATGTCTATAATTTCCTTCAGAGCTATAGACTTTCCTGAGGGCATGGTTTTCAGATTAAACTCTAAAACTCCCTGTACATATTTGGGTCAAAGTGATTATAACAGTTTATGTTCTATGGCACTGTATCAAACCCTCTTAAAGAGGATCAAGTTAATATAAGCCTTGAAAAAGAATTATCTTTGAAGTGAATTAATGAACAAGGTACTTTTCAGCAGTCGTATATAATTAACTTCTTTTAGATATAATACATTCATAAAAATGTAATATAAAAAGGCATTTTAAAAATAAAGCATATTAAAACCTAATAACTAGTGGCCAAAAACAGTAGTTAATGGTTTTATGTAATTATCCTTTCATTCATTGAAACAATAATGATTTGCCTCCTACTATGCATAAAGGTGATTCTTATAGACACTATTACTTTTCTGCTTCAAAACTATTTTTCAGAAGTCATAGAAATCTCCAAGTTTTCCAAGGTTTATGCTAGTTAACAGGACTTTAATGAAAAACATGTTTGGTTTTCCTATGTAGATTAGATATAGGCCCTTCCTATGTTTGTTGGTATTGACTTGAAAGAAACACATAGAAATCTATCAAACTTAATCATGGTATTATCTTTAACCAGGAAGAAAAGTTTACATAGTGGTAAACTATTTAAAGCACAGCTATTTCCTTAATGAGGAACTATTTGGAAATTATGGAAGTTACCCTGAATCCATAATTTTACATCCCTATGAAGTACTTCACAGATGAAAAAAAAAACACACACACACATATTTTAAAGTGTGATCAATGACTATTTAATATCTGTAAAGCAAAGTTTTTTTTAGAAGACTTAGAAGAACAATGTAGCTAGAATACTGTCTTCTTTCATATATTACAGTGTTAGAAAAATAGAAATTAGAACAGCTACAAAATACTGATAGTATTATCAATTGCTAAAATAAGTTCTGTTTTTATTTAGCATGACTATTGAATTTGAATAAATAGACTTAAGCATTATTTTCTATTGTGAATATAAATGTGAATAAATGTATATTAATATTGGAAAGAGAAGAAATTTATCATATTCCAGTTTGTAGTGCCTTTAAAGTATAGTGTTAACCATTAAAACATTAAAAAACTATTTATTAAGAACACTAATAAAAATATAATTTAAATATAAAATGAAAATGATAAATTTGAGAGTTCTGCAGAGGAGTAACTAATTAGCAATATAAGGCAATCTTACACAGAATACCTACAATGCACCACAGCCAACTTTGTCAGCCACTCATGGAAACAAAGAGAATAACTACTGAAATTCGTAAATCTTGCACTTACCAACCTCCACAACACTAGAACAGTTGGGATCTGTGAAGCCGTCCGGACACTCACAGGTAAAGGAATCTTCAGACAAGCCCGACAAGCAGATGCCCCCATTTTCACATGGATTGGGATCACAACTATCACCTGAGGAATAAAGAAACAGACTCTTACTTTTTTATTTTTGTCTTAGTGCTGAAATGCACTATTTCACATACCCTCTTCATCTTCCTCTGGTAAAGTCACTATACAATTCAGATCTACAGATAATCTATGCAAGACCCATTTGAAACCCCATGCTTTTAAGGAAGATGGTACGTAACATAGCAAATATTAACATGTATAATTCAAACAACTCATACTGAATTGCACATTAAAAGCTATTAATTTAGTTTCGAGTTCCTTTATTACATGTAAATGAAATACTATCTAATTTGTTAAAGATTAACTGAAATATGTATGGTAGACTGGTTTATTAATTACTCCAATAAATAATCTTTCAACATCCACATACGTTGCTCTGTAACTTTCCAATTTCCCTCATCAAATGGGTGGGTTTATTGCTGGATCCGAGACTCTGGGCTTGTTCCTGTGACTTGCCTTGGCTGGTAGGAAGCTAGAGGATTTGAAGCCAGCAGAGTTTGGAAAATGCTCTTGAGTATTTCCACTTCCCCTCTTGGCACCCTACCATGTTTTGAGAATAAATTCAGGTTGGCTTACTGGAAAGAGGTAAGTTAAACATGCAAGGATAAAAGAGAAGCTACCTAGAAATAAGTTGTGCCATAAGGAAGACCTAAAATACATGCCCTGGGCTTGGTCCTGGGAAGCAAATAAAATCTGGAGAGGCACTGAGAGAACGGCTCTAGGAAGGTAGAGAGGAGCAGTTGGTAAAGCTGCCACCTGAGGAAACTTCAGTGACGGAAAATGCCCCTAATGAACTTTTGTATACAAGTAATGAGATTTCCAGGCAGAATGTAAAAGTGTCAGCTGGCTCTTAGTAGTCTCATTTGAGAAGGTGCTATAAGAGGCGTGCTAAATAAAGAACTGATGAGTCTGAAGGTACAAAAAAGTAATATGGACGGACCAGAACTTGTGGTAGAAAGTAAAGCTCTTCCTCAACCCTGGCCTCTCAAACAAGTGAAAAATCAAGTCCAGGGCTTGGTCAGAAAGACATGGCTTCAATATAAGTATAAAATCAAGGATATGACTATAAGATTCTTTGTGAAAACATTTCAAATTATTCAGGTGCAATTTGAAAGACTCTCCCAGGTAATTCAAAGGGTTTCTAGAAATCTGAAGAATATTATGCCTGAGCTGTCTGGCAGACGCAAGCATTAAATTTCAAGTGAACATGTTAAGTGCCATGTCAGTCACCAGTGGCTGACACTACGACACTATACTTTCCGTAAGGAAGGCAAAACAGGCTGAGCAATAACATGTGAAAACAGGTTTCATACAGTCATGGGTGTGGCTTTATTGCTCAGAGAAAATGTGAATCAGAATCAGAAAAGCCTGTACAGTTTTTAGAGCAGCTTGCTACATGAAAGTAACACCTCCTAGATTAGATAATAAGGCTTTTTACTTATTTTATTTTATTTTTTTAATATATTTTATTGATTTCAGAGAGGAAGGCAAATGGAGAGGTAGAAACATCAATGATGAAAGAGAATCATTGATCGGCTACCTCCTGCATGCTTCCTACTGAGGATTGAGCCCACAACCTAGACATGTGCCCTTGACCAGAATCAAAGTCAGGACCCTTCATTCTGCAGGCCACTGAACAAAACCGACTATAACAGAGAATAGGCTTTTCAAAAAGTAAAATTGCATCTGGCCCCAACTCCATAACATTTTATATTTCTTAAGACTTTATTCCCTTACTATAGGCCTGATGCACAAAATTCGTGCAAGAGTAGGCCATCCTTTCCCTGGCTGCTGGTACAAGCTTCCCTCTGGCACCCAGGACTCAGGCTCCCTTCCAGTACTCTGGATCCAGGGTTCCCTCCAGCCTCCTGCACCTGAGACCTGGGCTTCCCTCCAGGCACCAGCAGGCACCTGGGACCCAGGCTTCCCTTGTAGCCCTGACTTTGTCAGGAAGGACATCCTGGAGGATGTCTGATCTAATTAGCATATTATGCTTTCATTATTATAAGAGGAGCTTTCCCTTGAATTACTTCATCTCTTTTCTCAGCTAGCAACTTTAAAATTGTAGAAAAATGAAAAAGGGGGTTAAGATTATTGTCAAATTTATAAAGTAAGTCATTAGCTATCCTAGATAGTATATAAAAATACTACATTAGCACTGAAGCAGATATTAGAAAAGTTATGAAATTAGTGAATAAATGAATGAATTAATGTGTTTTGAGAACACCACCAACTATAGGAAGGCTGGATCATGAAGTACCGTATTTTTCGGACCATAAGACGCACTTTTTTCCCCCCCCAGAAGTGGGGGGAAAAAGTCCCTGCGTCTTATGGTCCAAATATAGCCTACACATATACTTTAAAAAAAAAGTTTTTTTACTTGCCCGGCTCTGTGTGGTCTCTGTGTGCTTGCCCGGCTCTAAAATGGTTCTAAATGCTGCTGTTTACTTTACAGGGTTGATTACATGTGTTTATGACTGTGATGTTGGGTTTTAATGCACATAAAATATTTTAGGACACTATTTGTTTCAGAATCTTTTTTTCTTCATTTCCCTTCTCTAAAAACTGGTGCGTCTTATGGTCCGGAGCGTCTTATGGTCCGAAAAATACGGTATTTGTTTAGGGATAGCTGTGAAAGTATAAATAGGTCAGATAAGAAAATATTAAAAAGTTACCAATGTAATTTATAGGATGAAGAGCCAATAGATAGTTTTACATGCATATTAAAGTTTTGACAAGCTCTATCTATATTTTAAGAAGACTATCCTGGCAGCATTCTATAGAGTACAATTGAATGGGGAGGTTGACAACTGGTAAAGATACTTCAACATAATTTCTACTTCATTATATTTCTAGCTAGCTTAGTCACTTAGCTTCCCCTCCTTTTGTCCATTCATTTGTCCAGCTATTCTTTTATTCCTTGAGTACCTATTTTATAGTATGCATTTACGTAAGTTGGATATACAGGTCTAAAGACAGACTTTACCATGAAGAAGTATAAAGCTTACAAGGGGAGAAAAAAATAATCAGTAACAATTATAGCACAGAGTGACATGAGTTGTGATTAGTGTACATGGTCCAAGTTGTAGAGTCAATGGAGACTTCTACAAAGATTCAGTGCTGTCAGGTGATACAACAGAAGAGGTACATGGCCCACATTCCAGGCAACAGGAAATACATGCACAAAGGGAAAAGATCATGACTCATTCCAGGAATTCCAAGTAGGCCTGCACAATTAGAGCACAGTTATATATGAGCAATAGAGAGAAATAAACTCAAAAGGCTTATTTGGGCCAAAATTTTTAAGTTCACCTTTAAGCAATGGAAAAATCATAAAAGAACTTAATGCATGGCAAAGCATGTGGCCACATTTGTGCTTTAGAATGATGACTAAAGCAGCACTGGATTGGGTCAGAAGAAGGAGTGGAGGCTGAGAGCAATTCTCCCAAATCAGTACCATCCCTCCCTCTAGTGTTTCCCAAACTTTTGACATATGTGTATCCCTTCAATAATTTTCATAACGCTGAGTACCCCTCATACTCATGAGAACGTAGAATTAGGCGCAGCTAAGCCAGGTGCAAGGCGTACCCCCACCAAACTCTTCCTGTACCCCTGGGGGTAAGCATACCACATTTTGGAAAACAAAGGAATTGGCATTGTCATTTTCTAGAAAGACTGAATCACCCAACTTAAAGTAAAACCATGTTTTTCTGCCTTTGGTGTGAACAAAGCAGCACGACTTTGTAGAGTCAGATGAACCACACTATCGTCTCCTAACTCTGCACCGAATGCAGATGACTATGAATGAGGGAACATTTCTTGATGAGGTGTGAGTCAAAAGTGTGTGTGTTGTAAATACTACAGAAAGAGGAATCTACATTCCCAGACTAGATCTGTTGTTGCAGCAATGTGACCAAATCGAGGCCTCTTAAATTGTTTCTAGTGCTTTATTTACACTGACAGAAGCAATGTCTGTCAGGCAGGAATAGAATCCTGGAGGTTCTCAAGCATACACCCTGTATATGTACAGAGTTCTCCAAAATCAATAACTTCTCATTCTGACCTCTGTCACTCCTTCAGCCAAGTTCCTGCATAGTTTATTCACTGATGTGATCTTACAGTCTAGCTATCCCAAGGGCCACTTGAGGTTGTAATGCCTGGTTCCTTGGATTATCCTATCATTATGGGTAGTTTTGGTGTCCGAAGAAAACTTTCTTATTACCCTGTTGCCCTTTCAAGGTGATAATATTTAATCTAACCGTTTTTTCTACCAGGTATGTATGCCAGTCATATAATGCTTCTGTGGTCAAAATGAGGCAGGATGATCTGTTTCCCTCTAATTATATCTTGTAGATTCTAGCTGCTGTTGAGCTGACCTGTTTTTTCTCATCCTTGTACTTTTTGTTTTTGCTTATGTACACTTATTTCTAAGAAATTGTATGCTTGTAAAAATTCATTTATCCTCATTATTGATATCTACCTAGCATCTTTTTTAAGATGAAAAAGAAGTAATAGATTTGACAAAAATGATGTACAAGGTAGAATCAAAATGACATGGTTACCAAATTAATGTGAGAGTTCAGGGAGAGCAAGAAATCTGGTTTGACTGATTTCTAGACCTCCTCCCTGGATGACTGAGTAGCCATCTTTTATAAGAAAATATATTAGGTTTCAGTTTAAAGGAATTATTGTGTTAGAGGAGTCTGTGGGTTATTGAAAATAAAAATGCCCATGAAGCTATTAATTAAGTAGATATACAATTGGAGAGGTTCTGCAGCACATTGTTAAGTATGAAGGTGGGAATTGTATTTCAGTAGGAGACTTCGAAGGGAGGGCAGAACAGGAGAGGAGAGGGGAGCAGAGAGGAAAAAGGAGAGAAGTCCTTGGGAACACCAAAGGGGGGGGGGGGGGAGAAAGAGAGAAGAAGAAGAAGAAGAAGAAGAAGAAGAAGAAGAAGAAGGAGGAGGAGGAGGAGGAGGAGGAGGAGGAGGAGGAGGAGGAGG